TTGACCTCGTGATCCACCCGCCTCGGCCTCCCAAAGTGCTGGGATTACAGGCTTGAGCCACCGCGCCCCGCCCCGAAATCCTTGTTTACATATATTTGAATGGAGATACCTTATCTATCCATCCCCCTCCTGGGTTATAGTAAATTAAAAAACAGCCACACATTGCTGTATGCATTAAGTTGAATTTCTAGGTCAAACAAAATACTTCTGTTGGAAAACAGCATTTGCTTCATGTGTGTCTGGCCTTACAGAAAGAAAAGAAAGATTTTAGCATCTGGCCTTAGAAGAAAGAAGCATTTTAGTAAAACACCTCCTATGAGGTTTTTGTTTTTTTGGTTTTTTTTTTTTAGAAATAGAATTAGCTGAGACTTAAAAACAAGACTACCATGTTTATTCCATTTCATACAACTTACCCAGGAAGTATAATTCTGTAGGACAGACTGTCTCAGTGCTGTGGATAAGTTATAGTCTTCAGAACTATGATGTGTTTGGTGTCCGGCCCACATAATATTAACTTCTGCAAAACACATAATTTGCAATGAGCCCTGAGAATAAGAATAAAGCAACTTCCATTTTCAGTTATGCATGCTGCTCTGTTGAGTGAGGAAGAAAAATCTGGAACATCTCTGTAAAAGCTGGCCGATATAATTATAATTAAAATATGCCGCCTGAAATAATTTTTGGAACCAGAGACTGTATAAATTATAAATAAATAAAAAATGGAAGCATAGGCCAATAAATATGTATAGCTTATACGTTATAATTAAATGCCTCAAGCAAACTGACATTAATTCCAAAATTTACACTTTGCTAACATATTATAATATGACAGATTATAAAAGCTAGCTGGTAATGTTGTGACAATCCACTTAATGGATAGTGATGATTTTTTCAGTATGTGATAACATATTTCTAACTAAAGAAAAATTGTCTTAAGGGAGAAATTGGTATGTAAATTTTGGAATAAAATATTAATGAAATTATTTCCTCATGGCTTTCTGAGAAGTCTCAAAATCTGTTGGAATAAGAAGCAAAGCATAGCATAGTAATAGTTTACGCTAAGATCTCAGGTATTCTTTTATTTATAAAATTATATTAGCTAACAGTTACCTATGGTTTTCCTATACCTTACCAAAATACTATACCATTTCTAAATTTTCCCATGTAGTTTTTGCGTTCACAAAAAGGAAATGATTGTTGTTTATTTTTATTAAGCAGCGTACAGATTGCTCTCATACTATCTTGCAATTCATACAGACTCCAAAGACTGGCTTGTTTCTTTTTTGATTTTTACAACAAATATGACACTGCGTTGATCCCCTATGTCATTGAAACAGACAAGTACAAGTGGTTTTTTATTCTGCCCATATTTAAAAAATTTTATTTACATTTTTCATTTCCTAACAAAATTGTAGATCACAATGTCACTTTATACTCTATTCAGTTTAAAATATGTATATATAAAATGTTCTTAGCTAAACTAACTTATGTTTAGTCTTTGGTACAAATCCAGGAGACGGAATTAGCTATGTGACATGATCATCATATCCTTGCCTGTGTAGACTAGAAATTAAATCTTTTAGGCTTGGATTTATAGGAACTAAACAGTGAAACTAGAAATGCAAATATCAGGTTAATTGTCTTTGCAGTTGCCATATACTGATAGTTAAAATGTATGGTACATAGCAGAATAATTTTAGAAGTTTTTATGAAAATCATGTTCATATATATTCTATTCAATCTGGGCAAATATTTGGCCATTGCTTTCAAAAACGAAAGTTCTCTGAACAATGTTTGTAGAGAGTTACCAAACAAAATTGCAAAAGGAAAAAGGTTTTGGTAAACAAATGATAGCTCATAGATATAAGAAGGACTTAATTCTGTATAATAAGGAAGGTTATGAACAGGATTATGGTTAGTCTTATTATGAACAGATATCAAATATCATTTCTATTAAAAGTCATATTTTCCAGTTGAACAAGTATTGTCATAAATCATCAGCAGATATGTAACTTTGATCCCAATTGGTCAGTGTTTTAATTATTTTAATCATTTCTAGGAAAGACACTGCATTTCTACACTAGCAATTAAGGAATCTGTTCTAACGCAAAAGAGAACTACTTTACTGTAATGGCCTTTAAAAATATCTAGTCATAATCTTTGAAATAACATAGAACTTAATCTGGTTTATTGATAAGCCTAATGGCTATACATAAGAAATATACAAAGACCCTTGTGACACTTTATATCTTCGGATGTTAAGTGGACATTGATTAAGAGGTAATAAATTTGATGAATCCCCTGAAGTTTAAAAACCACTACACATAGAGGTCTTGAGTAATCTAAGCACCATTTTCTCATTAGAGCATACCCATTGCTGAACATTTTATAACTTATGACTTATACACTTTTATTAAAAATCAATACATTGTCTATTTTTTTGACCTGTCAGGATTTGTTTTTTCATTCTAATGCATCCACAAAATGAGTTAACAAGGGGATGAGCTAATCAGATGAGACTCCATTAGAGAGTCATAATATATATTGGGAGCCACTTCCTTGTAACCTTACAGAAGCTAAACGGTGAAACAAAGAATCCACAAAGGGGAAGGTTAAAGATCTGTCTCTTTAGTTGTTTCAATATCATTTACTTCCTGTCACAAACTGTGTGTAACACAAGCCTCATTCAATGAGGTACAGCTGTACAAACAGGGCACTGTAACAGGACTCTACTGCCTCACCTCTGTCACTTTTCAGAATTGGTAAAACCAGAAGGAATACTGAGTTTGTTTCACAGTCAATATTCAGCTTATTGGAGGTAAATTATCTCCAAAAGTGGTTATAAAAATGTATTTTACAGAAAATCATTCCAGTAGTTCTTTTATGAACAAAATGAGAAAAACTAAATGGTGCATTTATATGATCATCTTCCCTAATACCTAAATTGATGAATTGACTGTTCCAATAAATGAAAATAAATATTAAGGAGGAAAAAAAGATAATATTTAGAATAAGCTTCTCTCTGTGAAATACTTCATATAATTATACATTCTGTTCAATATTTTTCTTTTTCTATAAGCATTATAAAGATTATATTAATACATGTATATGATGTTATTATAACTTTTCAATGATATAACTGGAAATGATTATGCTGCTTTCTAGTGTCAAATGTAATCCTGTACATTTTATTAATATGTTGGTCAACACTTCCTCCATTTATTTGGCCAATATTTACTGTAGTGTGTGTGTGTGTGTGTGTGTGTGTGTGTGTGTGTGTGTGTCTGTATCTGCATTGTATATTTGTTTCTTTTTCAATTTTTTTATGAAGATGTAACTTATATGCAACAAAGTCCATCTTCTTTTAATGTTCAGCTCTATATGTTTTTAACAAATACAGCTTTTAATGATTATTACAATCTAGGTGCGGAGCAATTTATTACCCCAAAGAGTTCACCCACCCTATTTTGTAGTTGTGGTAGTCAGACTTCAAGATGGTTCCCTGCTTCAGATAAGTCAAGTTCTGGACTTTGAACTAATAATGCAGTGGGATGAAACTTTTGGGAACAGAAAAGAAGTGAGTGTCCTTTAAATGTGGGAGAAATACGAATCACTGAGGTCCGGCCAGGCAGCCTCTAGAATTGCTCCTAGTGATTCCTGTCGAATAGGATGCATGCCTTTTATAATCTCCTGCCTTTGAATGTGAGCTAGATTTAGTGACTTTCTTCTAGGACTGTAAATAGAAATTTAACAAAGATGATGGGATGCCACTTCTGATACTAGGTTTTAAAAAGACAGTAGCTTGTGTCTTGGTTCTCTCTTATACCCAAACATTCTAAGAAAAGCTGGCTACCTTGTCATGAGCTTCCTTTGAAGAAGTACATCTGTCAGGGAACTGGGCTAACCAGCCAACAAGGAACTAAGATCATCAGTCCAAGCCCCATGAAGAACTGAATTTTGCCAACAACCACGTAAGAGAGTTTGGATGCAGATCCTTCTTCATCTGAGCCTTCCAACGACACTGCAGTCTGCAAAGAGCTGAACCAATTAGCTGCAACTTCGTGAAAGAACTTGAGCCAGAGACATTCATCTAAACTATGCCCCAATTTCTAACCCACAGAAACTATGAGATAATAAATGTTTCTTGTTTTAAGCTCCTAACTTGTTACAAGCAGTAGATAATTAATGCAGTGGTTAAAACTTCTCCCTCTCACCCCTACCCCATTTTCAGTCCCTAGCATCCAGTGATTTTTTTCTTTTGGTTTTGCCTTTTTAAGCGTATGCTATCAATAAAACCATACAGTATGTAGCCTTTTGAGTTTGTCTTTTTTCATTTAGCATAATGCATTAAAGATCCCTCCATTTTTCTGTTTTTATGAGTAATTTCTTTTTCCTTTTTATCATTAGTATTCCACTTGAAAGACTATATCACAATTTTGTTTTTATCTATTCACGAGTTGAAAAGCATTTCAGATGTTTCCAGTTCTTGACAGTTAAAACTTATATTAAGAAGTTATCATAGAGGTTTTCTGTGGACACAAGATTTTTTCACATAGATAAATACTTAGGAGTGGGATTACTGAGCTGTATGATATGTCTACATTTAGCTTGTTAAGAATCTATCAAATTGTTTTCCAAAGTGGCTGTGCCTTTTTTTTTTATTGGCACCAGCAGTGTGTGAGAGTTCAAGTTGCTCCACATCTCTGGAAGCACTTGACATCATTAATTTTATTCTTATTTATTTGACAGCCATTATACTAGGTATGCAGTGTTATCACACTGAAATTTTAATTTCCATTGCTGTAATGGCTAATGACAACAGCTGTATGTACCTAATTGCCATCTATGTATCTTCTTTTGGAAGCGTCCATTCAAAATTTGTGCCCATATTTTAAATGAGTTGTTTTCTTAAGTTTTGAGAAATCCTTGTATCTTCTGCATACAAGCCCTTTATTAAATATCTGATTTGCATTTATTTTCTTCCAGGCTATAGCCTTTTTTTAAAATAGTGTCATATAAAGAACAAAAATTTTAATTTTCCAATTAAAAATCCAATTCATATACTTGACAGTTTTATTAAGCTTTCTGGTGTATATAACAAAAACAAAGGTAATTTTGGAGAAATTTTTCAGAAAAATAAGAAATATCTAAGTATACATAATCTAATCTTCCTACAAATATTAAATATCTAAAATAAACCTTAAAACATCTCTTCTCTCATATCTTGTCATCTATGGAATGGAGGGAAGTGAACTTTTATATTAATTCAAGACATAAAGAGAAGTCTACAAGAAATATTCACAGATATGTAAGATAGCCATTTAACTCCCAATAGTGGGCAGGCCAAGAAGTCTTGGGTCAACCTTGGAATGATGATGTTGGTTTCACTTGTTATCTGGAAAACTACCAAGTTATAAAGAAGGAAATGTTACAGGCCTATTTGCAAAATGTTAGTGATGCTTGATACCACTAAAAGCATATTGCTAGCACTTCATGCAACATTTAGCATATCGTACA